CCTGTTAAAGAAGAGTTTTTTAAGTATGTGCATTAGGTGTGTTTGGTCTGCTTAACTGAGGGTACCAACATAGCTGGTGTGGAAGGAAGACACCGGTGTTGGGGGTAGCAGCCTGTGAAAGTGAATATATTTTCCTGGAGGTCCCCATCGTTGCTGTGCCCGCGTGTTTTTTCGGGTTGCGCAGGCGAGAGGCGGCTGTTAGCTCGCTGGCTGCCTCCACAATGGGACCAGCAGGGCCTTTGGAAGACTTCTTGAAACATGCTATTATAGGCTGCTTTGCGATGAAAAGAGGTCTTACAAATATCTTGAAATTTAAACAGAGCTATTGTGGGTTTTCCCTTTGTGTGCGTGTGTGTGTTTGTCAGCCAAATCATTTGTTCAAAGTTAATCTCAATTACAGAGCATATTGTTCATAATCCCCCATGGCTCCAAAACAATAGCAGAGTGTATGTCTGCTTGAATATATATTTACATACTTACATGTAAAATACGCTTGCCTATATATATAATTTCACTTCTAAAGCAGTGATTCCTGTTAAGGAGATGGGTATTTCATGGAGGATCCTGTCTGTTGCGCAGCGCCATCCTCCCTCCTGACACAAACACCGCAGGAGGGCCTGAAGGGAGCGGGCAGGGCTTTGGGCCTGCAGCCGGCCGGTCGCTGCCCTTCCCTCCGCGTCGCCCTGGGACTCGTGCTAGCGAAACGGGTGGTAGGGCCGAGTCCAGGGGTTTCACCTTCTTGGAGACCAGGAGGTTTTGTGTGTCTTTAGTATCTATAAAATACCCCTGCTTTTCTTCTACTCCCTGAGCGTAAGGGAACCGATAGGCAATAGTTGGGACATTTAAATAAATTCCAGGTTTATATGCTCCGTGCACTCCTTGCAAGAGAGGCCCAAACTACCGTCACCTGTCAGTGAACGTAGGGTGTAATTTAGCGGTGTAGGAGCTCAGTTAGTGAGGGGCTCCACACTTTCCCTTTTTACTGATTTCAGAGAAGATGCTCATAGTTTTTCAACTGTAAGTATTTAGCAAGGGATCCCATTAGTAAAATCTTGGTTTATGTTTGCTGAGACACTCTTTGAGCAAAACCAGCAACTGTCTGAAGTGTTTGCCGTGTAAATTTTTGCTCTGTGGCGAATGCTCTAATCCTGTCACATTCTGTGTGTAAAATTGTGGTGGTATTACTGAGTTACTGCAGTCTTCTTTTTGCTGTTTGTTGGATCTAGGTGTATTCCTTGAGTAAGTTAACGTTATTATATTATATATATTGTATTATGTTTGGGGGGGGTGTTTTATTGTACTCTCTTTGTAAGTAACTTTGGCTTTCCTGGCTTCCTTCTACCCCTCGCTGGCCGCGGTGCCGTAGTAAATTGGTGTGCTGTTTGAAGAGTGTCTCTCCTGTCAGTCTGATAACATCGTACCACCAGGAAGGCATAACATTCTAATCCCAAGCACAATGTGATCCTGTTCATTTTAGCTCCTGTACTTGTCAGAGGGATAAGAATAAACGTTGTGCATGGGTGGAAGGTGAGGCTAGAAGTGAAGATAGTCGGAGATAAAACACTTGCCAAAAAGAGATAAATCCTGCGCAGGGACATCTCAGTTCGTAATCGAGGTATTGTCTAGAAATGAACTTTGAAACCTGGCTGGGATGTCCTGAATAACACAGGATGTAAAGCTGACATAGAGAATACAGAACTGTAATAATGGATTTGTGACAGGTGAAAAAAATTACTTTGTCTTCATTTTTTCTTAGATTTGGTGCCACATTTGAAAATATAGTCACACCAATACTATAGACAAGAATAATAACATTACTCTACAAGAAATAGATCTACAAGAAAGAAGAGATTGCTGGTAATTCTGGACTTGCTAGATTTTACTGGAAGACACGAGTGCTTTCCAGAAGAAGCCTCTGAAAAGAGGCAAAATTTAAGGCATGCCTTAGGGTACAGGGACTTCAGCCCCTTAAAAGCATCCCAGCAATTACCTAACCTGCCAACTTTCCAACAAGATAAATGGAAGCACTGTAGCTTGAAGGTGCCTTGGTTTGAATGAGATGCAGTAAGTAAGGTCTCTCTGTTCTTTACAGGCATCATAGATCTGATAGTACTTATAAAAGAAGAATAGAGTTGGTGCCCTGCTGACTAAATTGTCCTCTAGAGGAGTATTAGTTACAGAGCTTCTTTGTTAACTAGGCTGTATGCTTAAACCACTGTGAATTTCTCTTATTAGCAGGCTTTTTAATAGCTTTACATAGGGATATGCTAAGTAAATGCAAGTATGTCCATGTAATTTACATATATAAGGTGTATGTGTACAGTATTATATATATAAATAAATGTTTGCGATGTGGAAATTGCACATGACTTCATTACTGTTCTGTTGAGGTGAAAGCAAGCATTAAAATACTGATAATAGGAGAGCAGTAAGTTGACTTCTGCTCTTTCTGTCCAGGTGCTTCACATAAAGTCTTTCTTCTCCTTCTCTTTAATTTCCCAATTAGCTTTTGTAGATAACAGAGGTGTTTCTAAAGCCTTTGTACGCTGGAAGTTTCCCAGTTACTCGCCTACCCAGGATTTCTGCCGTAGAAGACTACGTTAGACCAGGAAGTGTGTGTTAACAAAAAACACAAAGTAATGATCTACAAACCACCCGGCGCAGGGCGGCTGATATTTCTCATTTTAGCCCACTGTAACACAAGGTAAAGGTTGTGTAGCACAGCCCAGGCATCTAGATAGGCAGCAGCCTTTCCTGCCGTCCTGAGAGCAACTTCATGAACAGCTTTCTTGATGGGTCTGAGGAATGAATGCTACCATAGCATCCTCGGCAGATGAGCTGATTGTGAGGTTCCCCAGCCCGGGGAGGAGATCCCCGTGCTGGCGCTGGGCGCGCGTGGGGAGCGGAGGGCACTGCGGCTCTGCTGAGCCCACCCGGCTGCTCCGGCTGTGTCTGCCGGGGGAGCGTGGCTTCGCTCTTTAAATAGACTGGCATCACGCAAGCTGTCGTCTTGTCTTTTCCGCTTTTGAGAAGGAGTTGCATCAAGTTGGTGAGGAAATCCCTGGAAGGCAGGCACTTGAGGATGCCTGGGACTCGTCATTCACTCCACCCCTGCGGGAGGCTGGAGAAGCCAGATGTGACCTGATGAGAAAAGTGAACTTCATTCCTGTCCCCCAAGTTCTTCCACACGTGCACACCCAGCAAACTGGGGCGATGCTGTAGGGAGCGGTCAGGTTTTGCCTTGGTCTCTGAATGACAGATAATTTCATCACGGACAGTGCCGACTGCTTCATGGCTTTTCGTTATTTTGGCGTGTTTGTTTTTCAAGTACTGCATGGCTTGCCGAAACAAATGAAAGCTTTAATCCACACACCCTTTTAAAACCTTTGTTATTCTAAACGTAAACCCCTGTGTTTTCTATATCTTCTATCAGTTGGGTGCCTATCTGGTTTTTTACGCAGAATTTGTATTCCTTTAGAATAGACTCTATTCTGCTACATTTGGTTTTCAGGGATTTTTTATATGCTTTTCAGCAGCATTTGTTTTATCAGCACTTCCTGCAGCATTTGTTACACATTACGACAGCAGCAATTTGATTCCATTTAGGAGAACACCGTATTACACATGGAAAAGCAGTAATTGCTTACCTGTTTCCCAAATACATTCTACTGTGAAAAATCTCTAGCGTTGCTCTATACAGTATCAAATGGTGTTATTTCTTATTTATATTTTCTACAGTTAATAGTTTCAAAAAAGAAAGAATGAAAATAGTTTATTCCTCATTTCACAATTAAATTTCCATTTGTAGGCATTCAGAAGTCGACTCTTGAGTGAATGCAGAGTCCACACACCGACTGAAGTTTCAAACTTGGTTTTTGCTTTTCATACCCCTAATGAAATACACATACAATTTTGTGCTTGTCAGTGAACGCAAAATTAAACTGTGGTGAGAGTCGTACTTGAAGTATTTGTGGAAATTCGTTGGAAAGAAGGTCTGCGAGGTGTCCTGCAGAGAGCTAAGTCGAGTGGGTTGTATTTACTACCTTTATGCACGAGGAAGAATAACACGTAGCATTCTGGGTGACTTCTAGTGAATGTTATTGGTGGTTAAACTGTTAATCCTACTCTTGCCATGCCTTGGAAGACTGACTGTATCTGTCTGTTAGGGGAGACTGGCTGTGAGCCTCCCTCATAAGTCAACATCAGACAGGACTCTTACTCTAAATACACCACTTTGCATTTTGTCCAAGTTCTGTAACTTCTAAAAATAACTTTATTTTTTGTTATGAAAATTAGAATCATAGAATCATTATGGTTGGAAGAGACATTAAAGATCATCAAGTCCAACCATATGCCCAATGCCACCATGCCCGCTAAACCCACTAAACCATGTCTCGAAGCGCCACATCTAAACGTTTTTTGAACACCTCCAGAGATGGTGACTCCATCACCTCCCTGGGGAGCCCATTCCAATGCCTAACGACTCTCACAGTGAAGAAGTTCTTCCTAATATCCAGCCTGAACCTCCCCTGGTGCAACTTGAGGCCGTTTCCTCTTGTCCTATCGCTAGTTACTTGGGAGAAGAGGCCGACCCCCACCTGGCTACACCCTCCTGTCAGGTCGTTGTAGAGAGCGATCAGGTCTCCCCTCAGCCTCCTCTTCTCCAGACCAAACACCCCCAGCTCCCTCAGCCGCTCCCCATCAGACTTGTGCTCCAGACCCTTCCCCACCTTCGTTGCCCTTCTCTGGACTCGCTCCAGCACCTCAAGGTCTTTCTTGTGGTGAGGGGCCCAGAACTGAACACAGCACTCGAGGTGCGGCCTCACCAGTGCCCAGTACAGGAGGACGGTCAGTGCCCTGGTCCTGCTGGCCACACCATTCCTGATACAGGCCAGGATGCTGTTGGCCTCCTTGGCAACATTCAGTTAGGCAGCAGTCAGGCTTTGCTCCCTGAGCTCTTTGCTTAGGCAGAACCCAGTTCTTTTTGTGCTACTCGGACGATGGGTGCCATTGTCTACGGTGCATCAGCTTGTGTGAGCCAGACAAGTGAAGTCGGTATCAGCCAAAGTAACAGGCTCTGTCATCCCAGTTATTGGAAGCCTCAAAGGTTCTTTAATGACCTGTTTTATAGGTGAGGTAGCTCTGTGCCTCTTGCTTGCACCTTAATTGGCTAATAGAAATAGTAACATGCTCCTTAACTTGTGCCTTGCCAGTAGTCACAAAAGCAGAGCTATCTTTGCGCTTCTCAATTTGGATGAGATTTTTCTGTGATGCTTAGGAATTAGCGTTTTCCCTGACAGTTAAAGGGCACGCGCTTGGTTTGTCACAGCATTGTTGGTCTTTCATATCTGATTTTACAATGATTTAAAAAACCAAATTACTCCCACAGATCCAAAGACCAGTGTAACTCCCGTGTTAACAGCTTTAGGGGATGTGCCCAGCAATTCGGAGTTAGAATTCCGGTGTACTTTGCCCTACGGAGGAAATTTCTCATTGGAAATGGCAGCAGTTACAGTCTGTTTAGCAGTGTATTCGAATGAAATGGAAGAGAAGCTGAGCTGTACGCTGGTATTTGATGGAAACAGAGAAGCAACCTTCCTTGCTCCTAGGTGGCCAGCGGGTCCTGTGCTCCTGCTGAGGGCAGGGCCCCTTCTCGGGTCTCTTCTGCGAGGTGAAGGCGCTGCACGCCAGTGTTGGAAGGGCTGTGTATTTTCCACCCTTCTGCCCTCGTTTTGGTGGTGGTTTAAGGAGTGGAGTGTGTAAACTGTGATTGTAACGGTAGCAAACCCCAAAATGAAATACTGTGTGAAAGTGAAACTGATGTATCATTTTCATTAGTTTTCGTATGCTCAGGCAGAATTTGTGGGATTAATTTTGAAAGCTTAATCCAGATGGAAAAGGTTAAATTCAATGTTGAGTGAATTTGGTTCCAATTCATTTGTTGCCCTTGCTTGTTCTTTTTCTCAAAAGAATTAGAGATTAAGTGGAGAATCGTTAAGTACTATCCTCGGTTTCTGCCGTCATTTAACTACATGAACTAACGTTAAAGACAACCTCTCAGTTATCTGCTGCAATAAGTAAACAAATGGACCTCATCGCCCTGCCAGCTCTCGAGTCCTGTGGCCTGAGTATTAGTTTATATGACTACTTACATTCTTTTTTCCTTTGTCCTCAGGATTTATCTGGATCCATTGACGACTTGCCGACTGGAACCGAAGCAACCTTGAGCTCAGCTGTTAGCGCGTCAGGCTCTACGAGCAGCCAAGGGGAGCAGAGCAACCCTGCACAGTCTCCGTTCTCCCCTCATGCTTCTCCACACCTCTCTGGCATCCCCGGGGGCCCATCGCCTTCCCCTGTAGGCTCTCCCGTTGGAAGCAACCAGTCGAGATCTGGTCCCATTTCTCCAGCGAGTATTCCAGGTAAGTTTGTTCCAACAAACAAAATCAAACTGATAGATGGGTTTATTAGATAAATGAATACTCCTGTGTTCCAAATTCATTTATTTTCTGAGAATCCTGCGTTTTCAGGGCCTTTTTCTACGACAAATGCATACTTAGAGCAGGGGTAAATTCCATTTAAACTTCAGCTGCCAAACCCTCAGAATGCTCAAAATTCTGAACTTGACTCCACATATGTGTTTGATAAATGTCTTTATCATCAACTAGTGCAAATACTTGATCATAAAATTTGTGTTTGGTTTGTGTGTCGTCTATCTGTCACATATTTCTCTCTATTATTTACGGGATCCCTTTTTTGGTTTTACTGTGGATTTTTGTTGGTTTTGACTCTTGGACTTGCATAGTGGTTTCAGACCCACAGAATGAGGCAGAGATTTTCCAACCCTGCATTGTGATAATGTAATTTCGGACATGAGTACAGAACATTGTATAAGATATTTTTTAATATTTGCAAAGGTCAACAAGTTACTAGGAATCCAGCCCCACCAATAAAAATTGAAATGCCAGCGGCATGCTTGCCACTCGCTCTCTCATGTGACATTGAGTATGACACACAGTCTTTCATGTACATTCAGAAATTTGTGGAAATCTGTTAAGATACCCGGAATTTTAAAAAGGCATGTATTAATTCCAGTTCTTACTGCATCCCCACCCATGTGGCATGTTTCTTGCGGGAGGTCAGGCAGCAATGTGTATTTGATATTTTGGATGAGTTTATTCTACTTCTGATGCTCAAGTTCTTGATTATTTTCTGACATTTTGAATACTAGGGGAATTCCTAAGAGTAGGGGAGTGCTGACACTACCCCAGGGATAACGTCAGTTGCTAACAAAACCACAAAAAAATCAACATGGAGTTCAGGTAAAAGGAACAGCAGCGGTGATGTGTTTTCATTAGATGTGCTGTAAACCAAATGCAGGTTAAAATTCAGCGAGTGGTGTGTGTTTCAGTATTCAATACAAAGGTATCTGTGTAAAGTGTACTTGCCTGTTTGTATACAGAGGTTGAACGAGAGAAGCAAAGGGGTAATCTCAGTGCATGCAGGAACGTTGCATACTAAACGTGGCCTGAGCATGTCGAGCCCTGATGCTGCGTGTGTGCCTTGCAGTTGTTTCTTCCGTCTCCAGCCGCTCGGACTGGCGACACGTGCTCAGGTGGGGCAGGAATAGCAGGGACAGCGGCAGGACCTGGACTATTTGCATTATGTGCGGTACGGTAGCTTTGTATTTGCAGCATATTTCCCAGTACGTGGCGCAGAAGCCTGTCCCTGTTGGTGAGTGAAGCCAGGTAGTGCACCTAGCTGGAAGGGTAACGTTTTCCGACAGTCGGATTCAGACAGGTAAATGGATTGGCATTTTAGCAACCTGATTGCTGAATAGGGAAACGACGTTGGGATGTTGAAAATAGCTTTATTGTAGCCGTGATGGATAAGGATGGGAACAGGACAGCATGTAGGGGAAAGTAATAACTATTATGAAACCAATTGATCCCTGTGGGGTAAAAATAGAAGGGGTGTGGGCCCAAAGGTCAGGGTCAGAGTTGCTGCATCACATGAGCTGAGCCCAAAAGCTCGTTTTTGTGCCTGGCCTGGTAAAAAGTATTGTCTCTTCATACAAACCGTGCCACCATTTTGCACAGTGGTTTTCTGATCTGCTGCGGTAACACAAAAGCAACTCTTCTTCAGGAAGGATTTTTATCAATGGTGCTAAATCAAAATTGCCTACCGCTGTTTCCCTGGCGTGGGCGAGCTCCTGGTCTCTGCAGCTCTTTTGCTAAAGGTGAACTCCCAGGCGTGAGCTAATGCAGCGCTTTTCAGAGCTTTGCTCCTGCTTTGCTACTGCTGCTGCTGCTGCTGTGTTTCTCAAGCTACAAAATGACACGAGCAAGGCTGCTATTTAAAATGGTGCAAGTAGTGGGATACTGCTGGGTGCTGGGGCTTTCAAGCCGTACAAATTAGACTGTGCTTTCACCTAAGTGTATTCCCGCCGTTGTGCTGCATTACTAGGACTTTGGTAGATTGTTTCATCAGCCGTATTCACGAAACCCTATAAAAAAGTAATACAGAGCTTGTTTGCATTTCTGTGGCTGTTTGCAGCATTCAGGTTGTGGCCGTTTTTAAACACAGATTGTGTAGTACAGCATCTCGCCTTTAATAATTTTGTTCGCTGCTATTTTCCTCTCCGTTTTCACCCTACCCTTGTTTGTTCTGACCTCATTCCTCTCCTATTACCTCCTGCGATGTTGTGCCACAGCTTCTCCATGTGACATAGATTGGCTCTTTCAATCATTCTCTCTCCAGCAAGTCATTGTAAAATGAGCAGCTGTTGTGTTGCTGATAGCTATGGCTAGAGAAAGCCAAAATGTTGCAGGGGGTTCTTGGTGGGAAGGCCGTTAAAATAAAGGTGTTGCTTTCCCAGGGTTTACTGGAAGAGAAGCATCCTTTTCCCAATGCCTCCTTCCTTGCAACAAAATTGAAGACTAATTTAACATCAAAAGGGCAGACAAACAAACAGCCCGCTATTAAACCTCCCAAATGGCTGATTCTCTTCCACTGCCTGTTTAAGCTGTCTCCCCACCCCACCGCAAGCCTGCCGCCCCGCATCGCTTTCTGCCGCACACCGCGAATTTCACGGGAATGGCCTGGCACAGGCAGCGCTGCCGTTGGCACGTCCCTGGCTCAGTGGGCATTTCCTTCCTGTGCTCTCTGAAATGCTGGACGGATATTTTGTGTGGTAGGTGGCACGCACATACACAGCCTTTGTTTCCATTCGCATTACTGGCATAGGCCAGGGAGGTTAACCCCTCAGAGCAGAAAACGCAACTTCGGTGGGTTTTGTTCAGAAAGATAGTTTTCTCTCAAAATGGTAACGCTTCTCGTTCAGACGCATATTCATTCCAGGACTGAAATACGACTCTCTCATGATTTTTAGGGATTCAAAATGGCATTCTGATTTCCTGGTAAGTAGATCATTATTCTGCCTTGCCAGAAATCCTGATCTCTTTATTTTGTAGCCATCTTCATAATTAGGGTACACGTTCTTCCAAAGAACAAGATGTGATGCCCTGCACTGCTTTGGGTCTTGAACTGTGCCTGATTCAACCCTAAACCATTAGTGGAAGCTGATGCAGCACATCATCAAAATGCACTGCTGTTGCCAGAAGATTTAGTGGCCGTTAATTTCACTTTTCTGTCTCTTTTTTTTTTTTCCCCCTTCCTCTCCTGCTCCAACCATTCCGGTTTACTAACAAAGCAAAAATGTAAATAAGCTAAACTCCCCTGTCTCCCCCCTCGTCCCCAGTTTTGATCTCACTGGCCAAAGGCTTTTGTCAGCTCTTTCTCCCTTGCGAGGTAAGCAGCAAAAATTTTTAATATTGAGAGTTCTGTGGGAGATTGCTGATAGGCCAGGAATCCCTTAACCCATGATGGACAAGCAGATTTTGTACAAGTTAGTAGACTCTATTGTTTTTCAACCTCTGCAGCAATCTTTATCTGTATAGAAGAGAAGGATACGCTATACTAATAATGAATAGCAAATGCCATCTGTAGAAAGATGTAAAAGTATTTTTTTCACATAGATTGGTATTTTGACCTGCACTTTTAATACAGGTTACTTTTGCTTTCTGAACAAACAAGCTTATTTTCATTCTGTTAAGCATCGACTGCGTTGTTGTTTTTATTACAATTATGTTGATGTCTTCTTTCACCAAGGAGCTTGGATACAGGCGGAGTTACAATTTTCAGGAAGAAATCCATGTGTGGATACTCTTCGTTTAGGAATGTTCTTGCCAGTCATCTTAATTTATGCTAACCAGCACCCTCCTCTGATTAAAAAGACCCCAAATTTTTAATTCTGATAATTATATGAGTCAATGTATGTGTTCCACTCCGTGCTCAACTCTGCTCTCTGCAAACCTGGAGCTCTTCCCCTCCTGTACTGATCAGCTCCCTGGCTTGAAATCCAGGACCTGTCAGAATTACGGCGTTACAGCTAGCACTCCAGGCAGAAAAGGAGCAAGAGGGGAATGGGATGCCCAGAGAGAGCAGGAACAGAAGATCTTACCTTGGTGTGCGTGTTAGTCAATGTGTCGCTAGACTAGAGTGACTGAAATGCTGAGAGAAGCAAAAAATGAACAATAGTCTATCATAGTCCAAAAGGACACTTTAATGCGAAAATCTGAATAGGAGTGATGCTTTCTTTCATGCCTTATGAAAGGAGAAGCCTGAGAATTGAACTGTTTCCAGAAGTGGCTGCAGCAAGACAAACCGATCGGATGGATCTTGTTTTAAACAAGAATTTGGAAAAATCTTTTGCTAGGAATTGAGCTATTCCACATGCTTACTCCATTGACCACCTCTACCGGTATGTTTTGTGGCATGGACGCTTTTCAAACATTATTAGAGGGAGAAGACTACCATATGAAAGTGAATTTCTAATACTATATTTTTTGTTGAAGTTTTACAGATGCCCTAAAATAATTGCAAAACAAGAATTATATCCTTGTAAAATGGATATAATCCCCCTGTCTAGAAAGATTATTTTAACACATCTATCAATATTTCCCCCTCGGCTTCTCCGGAGGCAAAAATCTTGCAACAGCTTGTTGCAAGGAAGATGCATGCTGTTCGTTGGCATCCGGACTAGGAAAAAAAACAAAACAAAACAAAACACAAAATGCCATTGACGTAGCTGTGTTCTTAATCACTGCTAGTGCACAAAACACGTATTCAGCAGTTTTGCAAATCTAGAGTGCTTGCAAACAAAATATGTGAATGTTTCGTATAGCAGTAGTTTAAAACCCTTTCTTTTGAACGCTTTGAACAACATTTAGAGTTTCTCTGCCTTTTGACAAGATGAAAAATAAGCAAATAGTAAGGCGCTGTAGCTCAAGGCATCACTTGTAGCATGTGGAGCATCTAACCTGTGATACCTATTAGAATTCAGCCCAGGTCACAACTGATG